GGCGCGCTAGAGCCGCCTGCCATGTAGTCCTCCTCCAAAATGGGTTCGCGGCTCGAGGGACAGGCGGTCTGAGAGGGTTTGCGACGCGAGACGCGAGGGGGCAGTGCGCCCTGAGCTCGCCGTTCATAGGTGGCGCGAAGGTGCTGCACCGAAACGCCGCACTCAAGGATCTCGCGCGCCACGGCCTCGCGGCACCAGCTGAGAGAATGTGAGCGGCCCAGGCACAGTGGCCCCGGACGCCAGGGCGCGTCGGTTAGCGGCGCCAGCGGCTGGCCACGAGGCGGCCAGCAGCTCAGCCAGGTGCGCGGGCCGGCCGCCCAGCGTAGCCAGCAGCGTTGCCATGCTTTTGAGCAGCGTGGAGATCTTGCTGCACCAGGCGGGCAAGCTGACCGCACGACCACGCATACGGCGCGGGTCAACAGTGAAGCGCGGCGTGGACAAGGCGGCCGAGATGGGCAGCAGTTGTTCTAGTTCCAACTCCAGTTGCTCCAGGCGCGCCTCCAGCTTCTGCGCCTTGTGCAGCACCTGCAGATTCTCTATTTGCTGCTCGATGCGGAGGATGTCGGCCTCGGTCATGAGCTCGCCGAAGGGCCCGAGGATGGCGTTGTGCTCGCGGGAGTACCTCCAGCCCTCCGGGGGATAGCAGCACGAGCTGGCAGCCGTCAGCTAAGGCGGGGGAAGACAAGAGAGGGGAGGGAGGCGCGTCTCCCTCAGGCCCAGCTCCCGTAGTGGCCGCCGGGGGCAGCTTTTGCATGTCCTGGGTGGTGTAATAGCTCCGCGAGGCTGTTTGCAGGGATGAGCCGCACCTGGCCTGCGGGCGATTATGCTTGGGTGAGGCTTCGGCCCAGGTCGCTGTCCAGGCTGTGGGCAGTGTCCACTTTGGTCGCAGGCGGGGTGGGGGTGGGGGTGGGGGATAGAGCCGGTCGCTGGATGCTGCGGCCAAGGCAGAGAGGGCAGACTGGCAGACAGGGTCTCCTTGCCTGGCTTGGTTGCTCATTACACCACCCAAGGAACATGCAAGAGGCACTAAAGCTGAGAGGCTCCGTGGTCCTCCACCATCCTATCTAAGGTCTGCTGTGTTGAGGCCAGATCCCAGCCTGGCCTCAGCCTCAGAGCACTGACCCTTTCTCAAGCTCCCCTGTGACCTAAGCCCTTCCCTGTCTGCCTAGTCAATGTTTTAAATGCTGATGAGAGGCCACTTCTCTGTTAACAGATAAAGCAGCAACTTCCACTGGGACTCCTCCCCCTTTCCCTTTCCC